TTTGGCCAAGGGCTGTGGAGCTAACACTCCTTTAGCAGCCACAACACTCAGTCCTGTGTGCCTCTGAAATGCTCCTGCAGTGTGTTAAAGCTGTCTCTGGATGTGTAAAATTACTACTAAAAATAACTTGTGAGCAGAAAATGCTAACCAGTTATTAATCTAACAGCACAATGAGTTTCACAACGGACTCAGTGTTGGATTATGTTTTGTAGGGAAGTAACAGGAAGACCCGAAGCTCTCTTTAAGAAAAACTATTTGCAACAAGCAGAGCAGCTGACCAGCAGCGTTTGTGTAACAAAACACGATAGCATACAGCCAGCATGCACTTTTACGTGCTCACGAGCTTAGACTGTATATAAGAAGTGGGCGTAGTGGACGTGTTTTTTGCAACCAGAAGTAACCAGAGAGGGTGGAGCTAAGGACAACCGAACACTGAAAAATAAAACTTTTAGTTTACCAAAACTTTCATGAACTGAAAACACATTGTGATAGACTTGAAACTAGAGATTGAGAAGATGAACTCATGTTCACGCCGTGATAGCAACCTGTCAATCACCGTGTAGCCCCGCCCTAAAGCATCCCCTGCTTTATGGTCTGTTTGACTCTAAATGGACCATAGTTTACTAAATGAACATCATGCTGTATTGAAGAAGACTTGAAACTAGAGATTGAGACCATAAACTCATGTTTACAATGTTTACTGAGGTAATAAATCAAGAGAGAAGTAGAGTCATTTTCTCATAGACTTCTATACAACCAGAGGAGTCGCCCCCTGCTGGTCACTAGAGAGAATGCAGCTTTAAGACACTTCAGCATTGGCTTCACTTTTCAGAACCGGAGGTAGTCACATGGTTGCCAACTATGCTACCTTATCTTAGTGGCTATATGACGTACATTTTAGAGTCAGGCTATAATATAGGTAACTATTTCCAATGCAGAGCTTTAGACAGTTCTGCGCTATTGCTAATGCTAGCTAGTGGAAAGGACTTTTCGCAATGATTGTTCAGTTGATAGCTGTATTTTTTACATGTTTGTAATGTTTTATGAAACCATTAAAATGTCGTCTATCTATTAGCTATACAGGTATTCATATCTTACTATACCATCTGTTTTAATGGGGTTTTGGAGTGATGCTATCAATGAAACGCACATGCAGTCGGGTAGAAAGCAAACCAGAAGGAATGAGAGCTTTTGAGGAAATAAGCATTGTTTTTGTGCCTTAAACAGCATGAAAAAAGTAAAAGTAATGAGTGTGGATGTTTTTTATTTTTCTAAGGAGGAAACCTCCTGGTTGTGGTGCATAATTAGTTATTAGCTCCAGCTGGTCAGAGCACCAGATTTAAATAAGAGAGTGGATTACTCTGCACCATGGTGGCAGGTAAAAAAAAGCCTTCTTCAAGGTAAGACCGCTCACACTGTGTGCGTCAGATGAAGAGTGCATTAGTTTGTTTGACTCTGTGATCAATACTTTGGTCATACGTTTGACATTTCTTTAGCGTTTCAGAGTGTGACTCGACTGCTGATGAGGTGCAGACTGAAGGAAAATTTCTTCAGACAGAAAAATCATCTCTTCAAGATACTGTGTAGCTGATCAATAATCTTTCTTTTTTGTGGGAACATTCCAGGATAAAAGTAGACACAGGAAGGTGAACAAAAAGCTGTATTTTAAAGCTGTCTAAAGGGAAAATAACTGCAGAAACTGGACCACTAAATTGAATTACGTTTGACAAGGCCAGCTCTCTTTAAACCATTAGGAGTGAATCTTGTGTGTGATTTCTTATAAAATGAAATGGCAACCGTCAAAAGGAGTGCAGCATAGCCCCTGGGGTTGGCAGGAAGATCTAGTATCTTCTGATATTTCACAGGCTTTCCTTCACAAACAGGCTCAGTGAGCAGCAGTTAGGAGTCCAACTTGTACTCAACATTTATCGCCACTTCTTGTTGATGTGTCAGGGGATTTTGTGCTCCACTGGCTTCAGTCAGCGACCCAAACTCAACTGAAGGGAATTCCTTTTCTGTTTGAAGAAGTCCTCTGCATTTTCTATCTACCCCTCAGTGACCTCATACAATCTCCTCTTTGTCTGTGAGCCACTGGGACAGACGTTTTGGAGGTAGTTATAATATTTCTGTGGCAAAATATTATTGGTTGTAACTTGGTACCGTGATAAAGATCTGTGGATTTTTGTGAAATGTTTTCTGCTGCACTTCTAGTATTAATAAGTGAACCGTAACCACTAAGAGATCAAAGCATGATCTCACAGAAATACTTGAAATGACGACGGCATTTTAACAACGCGTTACGCGTTGGTTGCATGTAATGTGTTAAAATTACGTGTCATCACTACGGAAACGATATAACGTTTTAGGCAACAGAACCACTTAGTTACGTTTAGGAAAAGCGTCACGAACGTAACTTCATCCCGGTCAATCCCAGTCTGCTGGTTGAAAATGTGTTTATTTGAGCCATCACCCTCCTGTCCCTCCCGTCCTCTGTGTCTTCTTCTCCTTGTTTAATACTTCGTCACTTCCTCTCACAGCTGCAGTCACGTGGATGCGTTTAATCTGCGTGTCCACCATGAAATAAAGGATCCTAATTTGCTTTCATGGTGTCGACACATTGTTAAGAGGTCGTGGCCATTTCACGTATTTCTGTGAGACCAAGTTGGGTTTCAATGTTTCTGAGTGTGTGTGTACATCCATATCATTTCCCTGCACAGTGAACACATCACTTACTTTAATAGCAAATTGATTTCTGGAGCGTGAAAACCATTTCTGTCTCTGACACTTGAACTGAGAATCACAAAGACATCGAATATGGCAGTTGCACCAAATATTTCATTGATACGGTTATTTTTTTAATTTACATATATTTTCTGTAAAGAACAAATAAGGGCAACTGACAAAACATTTCTTTTATCCTTTTTTTCTGTGATGAGATTGTTTTGGTTCACTTTGGGCTGAACATTAGGATGTGAAGTGTGACCGCCCTCTGGACTGTTTGCTCTTCTCTAATTGGTCTGACTGGGAACACCTGGCCCCAAAAAATAAAAGCTGCACCCTGTAGTCTCATATCTGCTTGTGCTTTGTTTGGGTCCTTTATCATCTTCCCCTCACATGCATTTACTCACACTGCTGTCTTTAGCCACATCTTATCTCTGTTTGCAATATAAATACGTTAATTGATGTTAATTTAAGTGCATTTTCAAATAACACAAGGTCATGTCGACTCAAGGAACTTGTGGTGAGCTCATATTTGTGAGGTACACGAAAATATTTACAATCATGAGCATTTATAAAATTTTCTTGCAAACTTAAATGACCCGGTGCAGCCTGAAGCCGAACCCCCCCCCCCGCTGATAATGGATATCTCCTCTATCGCTGAGAGGGAAATATCGCCCGAGAGTGGAGAGATTATATTAATGAAGGATCTTGAGCTGTCTTTACTTTGTTTAGTCGAGATTTAATCACACTTGATATTGGATTTCTGCCAGTTCAGGGAACTTACTGGGAAGGTTTGACTTTGGTCTCTCTTTCACGGGACTTTCATTGTATCTGGCTTTTGTTCATAGTTGTGTGTTGTTTGCATGATGCTGAATAATCTGTTTACAATAACTCAGCCATGCACACTAACATTCAGACGATTAGATATATAACATCGTTCATTGAGTCCATGAAAACCTGACAAAGTAGCCATGTGTGAAGGATTTTATTGGGAAAAGTTTTTACTTCTATTTTAAGTATTTAAAACGTAGCATGCCACGGACAGACTTCATTAATGCCTTCATTGTGAAAAGTAAATTAGCCAAATACAACTACACTTGTTGAGACATAATTATGTGCAGTCGTGTTTGTGGTTTAGTCAGGTGATGGACTCTTGAAGCATATCTGAAATGTGCAAAATGAGTAAAACCTTGAGTACAGAGAAGCAGTGAGTTGTTTTTAATACGTTAATATCCAAATCTGGAAGCTCCAAGTCAGCATCTGTGCAGAAACACATTGTTGGCAGTTGAGGAGAACAACTAAAGAGAATAGTTTATTAGAAAATTCCAGAATGCCAAGTTGGCACTCGAAATGTTTCTTCTTGCTGTCAACTAAATAGAGTGAATGGAGAGAAATGTCTTTTAAAGTAGTCGTTGTATGCGTGTGCTTGAATTAGATTGATTAATTGATGTAAGTCGATGACGTTTGTTTTGCAATAAATCTTTGAGTTTCCCCGTTTTTTCCCCTCATGAGGTGCCGTCTGACATTAATATTGATGTGCTTTAACATTTATCTCCTATTCTTTGGCTTTAGAGTTGTATGTTCATTTTGCATCCAATGAGCTGGGGTACGGAGAGCAAGAACACATTCAGGAAGGACTCGATGAACCCAGAAAGGTTTTAACGTTACAGAAGAACCGTCTCTTGTAAAAACCAAAGTTACATATTCTCACATGGCTTATTAAAGTGTGACATCTTGGAAATGGTTGAATACAGAATTTGTAAACCTAAAACCAAAGTGTGATTTATTTTGTAAATAATTGTACTCTGGCCATCTTTTTGCCCGTAGAAGGGGGACCAAAAGAGTTGATATGTTTAGTTGTGACTGGCTCAAAGGACCATGGCAAACAAACAAAAAAGCTAATTGTTTTTTGTCTGTAAGTCAGTTGAAAAGAGTGTAAATGTGTGTTGAGTTACTCACAGTGTCAGTGTTTAACTGTCGACGATGTATGGAAAGCCTCCTCTGACATCACTGATCCACTCCACCGGCCAGTTTGTCTAATTTTTGTGTGCTCTATCGAGTAGTTAGGAAAAAATGCATTATTCATCCAGCAGGGCCTCATTATAAGCAGTTTACACAGGGCTGATAGAAGGGCAAGTAATGAGGGATTAGTCCCCATAAATCGAAGACGTTCACGTGGCGTTGTTATTGTGAGACACCTCAATGAAGGATCACTACAGTCCTCTATAACTCTGTCGTGATTTCAAAGCATCTGTTTGTCTTGTTTTTGTGATTCACAGAGGTGTGTCACAGTCCGCTAGTTTCCAATCTGCTGCCGTCGTCCTTCAGAAGCTCCTCGCAGTTGTCGGGCAGCCATGGGCCGGGCTTCGCTAAGCTGAACCGCAGAGAAGGTGAGTAACAGTGAGAACCACCATCAGCGTGGTCGATACCTACGGAGTCCCGGAGGGGACATGGAGGGGGAAAGAAAACCCCCAACAACTTCATTTCCCGGTCAGTTCAGTTCTCACATAAGCGGGAGATATCTGAAGAGAATACTGACTTTTATCGCAAAGTGCATTCTGACCTGGTTCGGCTATTGTTTTTCCACTTTAAATAAAACCACACATCTATGTGACAAAAGCCTCCACAACTGCACTTATACGTGTCCCGTGAAATGCATGACAGGGACAGTAGCTCGGAAAATTGCAATACGGGGCACTGAATATGATTCATTTATCTTCAGCCCACAAAAGAGACAAAATATTTGTGAGATTTCACAAAAAGTACGTTTTTAACTTCTGATTCCCCCCCCCTCCATGTGCCCTCCGGGGCTCCGTACTCATGTAATGTTTCATAGTGTAATAGATCTGTGTGGTGGGCTCTTTCACTCTGTCCAATCCTTTATCCGTCAACTACATGTCAAGGCCCGGTGATAAATTAGAAGGTTCATCGTTTCGACTAAGAAATGTTGATCGTTTATTTTGCTTGCTGGCATCTGTCTTAATCCAAAATCCCATCATCCGTGAGTAGCAGTGGTCCACTAGGCTTCACATGATGTACATTTCCTCTTTGTGCGTGCCGTTTAACGCCACACCGTTTGTTTAGGCAACGAAACCAGGAAAAACATCCAAGGTTGGGCTTAAAATGAGCACGTTATCTGAGTAACGTATGTGAGGAAACCACATGAACAACACTTACGTCACAAACGTCACAAACACCGGCCTCCTGGTTGCAAGTCCTTTATTACAAATAGTACTTTGAGAGCTACCATGTGTCTGCTGGATTTGTTAGTAAGCAGTTGATTGCTAGCAGGTTAGCCATTAGCAGGCAATAATCCAAATTAATATCAGGGTTGTGTTTCTGTGTGTTTGTTGTGGAGTCAATTTCCCTCTCAAAAAGATCTGGGTGTTGATGTTTTTTTCAGTTGCCTGATTTAGAGATGAGCTTTATCTCCTGTATAGATGAACACTTCATCAGTCCTGTGTGAATGTGTGCACATGCATAAAACACACCTCAAGGGTGGCATGCTGTGTTAAAAGAGAATATAGTGAAGTTAATGTTTATTTTCTAGATTTAAGGATTATCACAATATTTGATGGATCATCAAGGGACTAGATGTTACCGTGTGACATGTCATCTCGGCCACAGTGTGATCTGTTCCACCTCTCCATCAGCTATTCTCCCCAGTATTCATATAAAATTTAGCATTTTAACATCAACAAATGAATGCTGCAATCTTGTCCTCCTTTCTTCTCAATCGTTTATTATTTTTTTTCAACCCAGAGTGTTGTATTTGTTGCATTGGTTGTGCAGTGAAAAGAAGCTCCCCTCTGCTTCTGTTCTGATGTGTTGCAGCAGCGTGATTCACTGCCCTGCAGGACACACAGCACACAACATCAAAGACAAGTCTCACTTGGGTTCTCACAGTCTTGACAGACACCTGATGGGGTGAATGATGGACAGACGGATTAAACCCACAACAATACTGTGGCCGTCGGACAGATGGGCCGATACGGAGGCTTTGAGAAAACACACCTCTGTTTATGGTGCGTTGTGGAGGAAGAGTCGGCTGATGAACACTCGAACCAGAGACAAGAATCAGAAGAAAGCACTCTTTGTCTTCAACACAATAGAGGATCTGAATGGTTTTCACCACCTGGGAGAATGCAGGAGGCTGTCTCCTAGGTGTGTGTGTGTTTGTGATGGCAAAAGGTGTGAGCAAACACACACACATGCTGTGTTCTTTCACTTCAGTCAACCTGCAGATGTGAGTTCAAGCTGCGTTATCAAGGATCTGATGCTTCTAAAAGAAGATCATGTTAGTGGATCACAGAAGAAGACAGGGAGAAGCAAAGAGATAAAGAATTAATGAAACAAGATGGAAACAGAATGGAAGGACAGTGAAGACGTTTTTTTTGTTTATCTAGCACACAAGAAAAGAACCCTGAAGATGCTGGAAAAAGAACAGCATCATTCGAACATTAACCAGGTCAGGCTGGTCTCCTCCAGCATTCGTAGCAAAAGCTACAACAAAAGAATGCGCCTCAATTTACTAGATATCTCATGAAATTATTTTGTATTTTATCCACCAAATCATGAATAAGGAAGTATAAAGACAGCTACATCTCACACAGGGAGGGTGGGTCCAACAAACAGGAAGCTTTCAGTCGGGAGACCACAGTTTCTTCCCCGTCCAACCGTTGTATGAGGATACGCTGGCCTGGTTGAATATGCATGTTGTTGTCCCCACAGTCTCTAAAAGATGCATCTTATTTGCAAACAAAGTGCCCTATAGATATTAAATATACATTATATATATATATATATATAGATGTACACTTATTGTTTGCATATTTAAGCGTGCATATGTCATCACAAGAACACCTCGCAGGTTACGATGCCTTATTGACTCTCTGCATGAGATTTGTATTGAATTACAGTTTAGAACTGAATTAGTCTGATCGATAAACCCAATTTAGTTTTGAACGCAACAACGCAGATTAACAAAGTGCATTGATGTAAAAATAAACACTGCTTTAGTTCCTGAATCCCAGCCATTCTCTGTAGAAATCACTGGATAGATGAAAAACTCCCCCTGGTCGTTCTCGTCTCCTCCAGCTGCTGCTAACGCTCCGCATCCTCTGCAGTCTCTCTCTCTGTGGAGCCGCCTCATTCCAAGTTAATTTACCAGCAAAATGAGCAGAGACTGGTGAGCACACACACACACACACACACACACACAGCTCTGTTTAACAGAAGCACTGAGATATCTCTGCAGCCTCCAAACACTCAGTCTAGTTGCACTATTAACCTGCGGAATGACGGAGCATTGGTAATTAAAAGCTTGTAAAATACAACACGCTTGCTACTCTCATTAGTGGGCTATCTTTTATACTCTTCACTTGAATCATAAATGAAAGGCCCGTGTATTTCTAACTGTCTCGTAGTGTTTTGTAGAGTATTTCTAGCTTAGTGGGTAGAGTGATCAATCAGAAGGTTGGATCTCTATTGTCTGCATGTCAAAGTGTCCTTGAGTCAGACACTGAACCCACTCAGCCGGCTGCTCCTACATGCTTAGGATGGTTTACATTTCATGTATTTAGCTCTGAGTATATGACCATTGAAATTAAGTTTTGAGAAAGTATGAGGAAGAAACTGATCTCACCCTGGGACCCTCAATCAGGAGAGACAAGTCAGATGAAGGAAAGATACTCGTTTATTATTAACAGATGATATGAGATGATAAAAGTCTTGACAGAGTCTTTGGCCCTTGGATTTATAATCAACAGGCATCTGCCCTGAGCAGCAGCAGGATAAACCCCCCCGTGGAGTCCAGACACTGGTGGTGGTGGTGGTGGTGGTGGTGGCTGATGAGGCTGATAGAATGATGAGTTGATGAAGCCGATCAGCAAGATGATAGGCTAACGATTTCGTTGTGCTATTGGATAGAGACCAGCTGATCTGAACAGCTGATATTGTTCAGATCAGATCAGATCAGATGATTGACAGCCCCGAACAATGACAAGGAATTTATGAGATAGCATGTGTGAGGAGTGAATCGCTGAAATAAAGAGTCTAGTCTTCCTGACCGAACTTACGCTAGAGCTTCATTCCATCAGAATGATTTGAGAAATGCTGTAAATGCATCTAAATTGTGACCATAGTGCCTTTAAATGAAATCAAACGGCATTCTTCAAAACTGCTGCTTCTGCTTCACTTAATAACTGATCATCCAAAATATATAGTATTTAATAATTCTGTGAAAATTGGCTTTTTAATGGGACTTAAATTAAACTAAACATGTAAAGCACTGAAAGCGAAGCCTACTCCTCTCTTGTAGCAATGATGTACCACAAGCCATGGACGACCAATGTCTACCAAGTCATGAAAGTTACTGTGAGGAACTTTTAACTGGCTGAGAAATACTGATGCCTCTATATGACCTACATAAGTAAACACAACCATCACCGAGAAGATTGGCTGTCTTTATGTAGTTATTCAATCAGTGTGGCCTCTGGCAGCGACCAGCCCACAGAGGACAGAACCAGGTCTGGAGCTCCGGAGGGAGGAGGAACGCTCATCTCCCGGCAGCAGCGTCTCCTCCTCCTCCTCCAGGAGCAGAGATTCTCCTCTCTGGGAGCCAACACCGACACCAGGACGTATTGCTGGGCCCGCTTGAGGAGAGGCAGGCACGAGAGAACCAGAACCAGGACTGAGCGAAGCAGACCATCAGGCCCTGCTGCAGTAAAATGAGAGGTTTTCTAAAAGGACTCTGGTGCTCGGGAACACTACCACGTTTGTCCACAGGGACCGCCAGAATCAACACACAATGAAAGTTACTTGTAGCAACTTTAAGAAGTCACGAATAATATCCAGTTTACTGTTGTATTTGTTCATCACATATACCTGATCAACACCTACGTAAAATGAGATGTTCTCTGCACTAGTTTGTCGAGTTTTGAGCGTGTCTCTCTTCCTGTCTGTCTGTGCATTACTGATGGCCAAATGGACGTTTTGAAATGCTGCTTGTGGTGAAGCCGTCAGCTCTACCAGCACTGAGCGTTGCAGTATGTTTTTGTTCTGCCTCTCCTGCTACAGTTAATATCCAGACATGAAATACATCAGACATCTCAACCACCAGCTTCTATTCATTCAACATTTGCAGAGGGGATTTAATCACATTTCCTTCCAGGCAGACAGATACTTGGGTTTCATCTTTGATACACTAATCTCTGGCAGTGCAGCCGTAAGTCAGTTGGGAACCGAAGTTACAATACCTGCCCGAGGAGAGGAAGTCGCTCCTCTAATGACTGAGATGTTGGCTCCAAAAACTTTGATTTTGGAGAAATTGGAGTCTGATCTGCTCCGTGGAGGAACATTTTAAACTTATAAGCACAATATACAGAATATACAGAATATATATATATATAAGACTTACATTTTTTGCCTCAAGGCTCTTGCACAACCTCTAACTCTACTGATACCAAGTGGCTCAATTGGCAGAGGGCCCAGGCTCAAAAGTTATTTTCTTACAGAACTTTGGAACAAGACATAAATATATTTCTACAATCTACGGCTGTCAAAGGGAATCGTGTAGTGACAGAAGGATGACACTGATATGTCTGCGCTTGTCATTATTAATTAGAGATCTGTCTTCAAAGTGAGAAGTCATCTCTTTCAAATATGGAGAAAAGTTTTGAAGGAATGAAAAACACATCTCCTTCAATATACTAGTGTGAATTATGGCCTGTTATGACTTATAATACAGAAGTGCTTTATGGTGGATTTCTTGTCCTGTACTCCTGTCCATCCTTCTGAGGACACTTTGTTCTTTTCTTATGTCTTCACGAGAAGTTTTAGGGTTAGTTTATTACTGCTTTGCCCAAGGCTCTCACCTGCATTTGGAACCTGCATGGAAAGGGGAGAATAATGGCATCGCCTGATATTATGCACCTGGGATGATGGATGTGAGGGCAAATGGTGGTCGTTGGGGTAAAATCCAGAGATGCTCCTCGTCCGTGGTTTGCAGAAATGTCCAATGCCAACATTGCCAACGACCGAGCTGCTGATCGCCCTCAGCGAAGGAGTGTAACCTCCAGGGAGTGAATTACGTCAGGAACATCCTCAGAAATATAAAAGCACAAGCTCAACGCATGCAACAAAAGCCATCCTCATGATGTTCTGACAGCAAGATGTCCCTTTGAGATGACTCAGCACGAACACACCCACTCACCTTTTTGTATTTTAATTATTGAATGTGTCTTCATCTCATGCTCCTCTGCCCTGGTTCTGGGATTATATGAAGGTCTGCAATGGACTGGCCACTTTAATATTGTATCAGGCTTAATGCCTCAGCTGCAGCTTATATTATACGGAGAACAGTCCTCAAGCTACAGATTAAACTCTTTCACTGTTCCAAATTAAACATCAAAGACATAAATTGATAAACTATTTGTGCTCAGGGCTTTTGAACTACGGGCTTTAAACTATGGGAAAGTTTGTGTGATTAAATAACTTTAGTACAGTTTGTCTTCTTTTAACAACTGAAAACTTTGCATGTGTGAATTTGCATTTATCTTAACACTTTTTTTGTTCTTTTCCAGCACCGTCAATCTTTTCACATAAAGCAGAGTCTCTGTAGATATGTTTTAATTCCCCTTTGATGTTCCAGAACTCATAACACGCTCTATAGAGAAAGTGATTTTTTTATGTTGAGAAGTCATCCCTTCTTTCTCTGGGTGATACAAAGGTGTTTCTCTCTTCTTCCAGGAGCTGGAGGTTGGTCTCCTCTGAGCTCAGACAGATATCAGTGGTTGGAGGTGGACCTGGGCGGGCGGACACATATCACCGCTGTTTCTACGCAGGGTCGCTATGGCAGCTCCGATTGGCTGACGGCCTACCTGCTGATGTTCAGCGACACGGGACACAACTGGAAGCAGTATCGACAGGAAGACAGCATAGAGGTGAGTGCACTGAGAAGTTATACTAACAACTAAAAATGATATCAACCAATGTAAAGTAATAACTAAGTGGGTCTGTGACTATAGAGTCAAACAAATATCTTTGCTTATTCACTGCAGACATGTTGACATGTCGCAGTAAAGCTCAGTAATAACATTCATAACTGGCTCCATTTTATTCAGTGAGACAAAACCCTGAAACCAAATTCAGTCCTTACTCTATTTATTAATTTAAACTGTAATAAATGTACTGTGACATGTCAAAATGTACAAAAGAAAAAATGCTGCTAGTACAATAACAATGTTCCTTTTGAAGAGACCAGACAAAATAATGTTGCATGTAATGTGCTGATAATTGATGTGCTCACTAATTTGTTTATCAAATTTAAGCATTTAGTAAAAATGCCGCTGAAATAAATGTGTTTAAATTAAATAAGCGTCCTGGATATGTAACTAGGAGACCGCTGTTAGTGTGAAACAAAAGGTAAACGTTCATTATTTCATGTTACTTTTGCAGTTATTTTAACCCAAACCACAATCTTTTCCTAAACCTAACTAAGTGGTTTCCTGTGAAGACAGAAGTTAATTCTAAAATACTGCATGCATGTAACTAGTGCAAATGTACACGTGTTGCTGGACTTAAGAAGGAAAATGAGGAGTAATGTTATCGTAAGATATCATACAAGCCGTTGCATTAGGATGCCAGGCCAATATACAAACTGTAACTTAAGGACCCCAAATATGAAGGAATTAGCATCTCATTCACTCCCACAGTTCGTAAAATGTTGCACAGTGTTAACCTCATTACACTTTAGATGGTAGAGACTGTCAAGCATTACCTCAAAGCTCTAAGTATAGACAGAGACTTCTCCCTATTGCAGTGACGCTGTGACGAGCAGCTTGGGTTTTAAAGCTGGTGATGAGGGAAGACTCTCGCAGCGATGGATAAAACTAATGTCAAGCTGAGACTCCTTCACAGAGAGGGCTTCTCACGGCTTAAAAGCTTGTTGATTTCACACTCAACATAAATCAGGGATAAATCCACGGCAAGTCTCCAAAGTCCTTCTAAAGCTCCGCATGTTAGTCAGCCCAGTTTATTGGGGCTTTCGGGGGAGCAGAGTCGACTGCCGAGTCGCTTCATCGGTCACAATTCTTCCAGGATTTCTCTTTTCCTTTAAGCTCACAGGCCAGAGTTGGTGAGGCGGAGTAATGCTCCCTCCTTCTCTAATTTTCTCCTCCCTCTCTCGAAATCTCTCCTCTTTTTCTCTTCACATAGAAAAAGGTGTGAAAGAAGTGAGCAGATGGTGTTGGGAATAAATAACTGTCCCCATCAGGGAATATAGCATCCTTAAGTGGTAATGGAGGCGAAGCGAGTTGAAGTACATCATAGATTTCCCTATAGCAATGATGAAGACTCTGTTAATGAGCATCATCCTGACATGCAAATATAGGCTCTATATGCCAAGAGAAAAGCTTTAAGTGGCGGCAGAGGAACATTAAAGTGCAGCAGAATGCGAAGGAGTGGAAGTCGACGTGTGATTCGTTACACTTCTTTGATTTAGTTTCATCAAACTTTTCTGACGGTTTTAACCCAAAACCCGTCAGCAGGATGCAAAAGCATGTTTTTGTTTAACAATCGCCAAATCGACACCGTTCGTCAGAGCCAGACGCTGTAAAAAACTGTCATAGTCGTCATCTTTTCATCTTCCCGACGGTCCTTGGACACATCATGTGTGACAAACGCTTCCGTCACAAACAGCAACTGAAACAAATTGTGACATTGCATCAAAAACATTTGACTCTACATGTCTCATTTAAAGTCTCGCCCTGAATAAACCGTTTGAAGAACCCAGATCATGACAATAAAGGTCTCCCTCCTCTAAAGGAATCAAAAATTAAACTTTCTGCATAATTAAAGATACAAGTTTTAATGCTGTAAGTGTTCAGATATTCTCTAGCTTTGCTTGGAGAGGTCAGAGGTGAGGATCAGTTACACACCAGCAGCACAGAGTTAGCAGGGATTCAGTGGTTTCTTCAAGGACATTTCAGTCGCTCACTGAGCCGTCCTGCAGCACCTTCACGTCCAAACGGTGCTGAAATGCTTCAGTGTGATTGTAGGTTAAGTTGACAGTATTTGCATATAGATTAAAAATCAAATAAAGGGATCAGAGCCGGTATGCAGACTTTGGTTTCTTAGTGAAGGAGCCAAGAAAAAGGAAAATCAAGACAAAAATCAGAAGCAAAGGTAATTTAGGGGAAAAAGATCGAGATTCAGAACCAAATCAAACAAAGTATTTTTTCACTTACGTAACAAAATTTTACTTCTTTGTCTGTGTGAAGAGAAGCAGAACTACCTACAAAGCAAAAGGAAAGTCGAGTTATGGTCGAGAAAATGTTCATGGTTGAAAGTGAAAGTTAATGAAAGGGCTTAAGATCAAGTTTAAAAAGGTTAAAACACATCCACAATAAGTGTGCAGGGATCACAGAGGTTAATACATGTTATTCTCTAAGGACCAAGTGTTTACCAAAGCGTCCAAAGCGTATACAAACTACAACTAGAGCTTCACAAATCCAATGTTCCACCTGATTGAGACTCCATTCACCAGAAACGTGGCCCTATCTCCACAAAGTTCCCTTCATTAAGAGGAAAATGAAACCAATCACCTCTCACAGAAGCCTTAGGGGGCTCTCTTATAAAAACATGAGAGAGCGTGTTCACCTATTAGACCTCAGCTTGACGATAATAAACATCCAGAGGGAGGAAGTTCACAGCTATCTTTGTGGTGTCAAAAGATGGACAGATGCATGGATGGAAAGCCAGATAACGACTTGCTGCCGTTGATGTGTTTCCAGGCTTTTCCAGGTAACAGTAATGCAGACAGTGTGGTCCAGCACAAGCTCCAGCATCCGGTGATCGCCCGCTACGTCCGCCTCCTCCCCCTGGACTGGAATCCCAATGGTCGGATTGGACTCAGACTGGAGACCTATGGATGTGCTCACGGTCAGTTTGGACTCTTTATTATTTTATCCTCCATTTATAGATGTAAACTAAAAAGAGGATCATTCACATTGTTGAATGGGACAAAAGATCATCTACGTACCAGTAAGTGTTTCAGAATCAGCCCAATGCTTTCTAAATCAAGTTTGAGAAATGTACATCCTGAAGGATCTATTTGACTCATGTCTGCTGTTAAAAGTCCTCTGAGGAATGTGTGCTTTTGTTTTCAGACTCTGTCGTGGTGAGCCTCGATGGCCGCAGCAGCCTCCTCTTCAGGTTGAGTCCCAGGCCGAGGCAGATGACCAGGGAGAGCATCTCTCTGACCTTTAAAACCCTGAGGAACTCTGGGACACTTCTGCACGCTGAGGGACAGAGCGAGCACAGCCTCGTCCTCGAGTTAGAGAAAGGAAAGCTTCTGCTGCTCCTCCGAAAAGGTACAACTGTAAAACCCTCGTCCGCACAACTTCGCGATTGCTCAACGTCTCGCTGGCGTGTGAGTCAAGTCCCGCTGGTTACATGCATACGGTCTTTTCAAAATAAATTTCAAAATAAACCTTGGTTAGGTTTAGGAAGAGATCGTAGTTTGGGTTAAAATAACGACTAAGTGGCGTTGACGGAAGTTACGTGACGAATGAATCAACGTTGCGGTCTGAAAGTCCAGTGCTTTGGACCCACTCATCCACCCCCACCTCCTCCCTATGCAATTTAAATCATTGAATCATTAATTACGTATTTTGTGCAAAAGAAAATAGACAAGAAACTGGCTGAAAATAGACTGGGGATCATTTCCGTAAAAAAACTTGAAATTGAGTAAAATGATTGACTTAATAAACATCTTATGGTTGTGAAAGACATGCCTCTATCCTGCAGGAGTGACCGCGAGGTTAATCGTGTGGCATCATCATCATCATCGTCTTCTTCTACACAGAAATGTTGCCAGAGGCAGCTCCTTCTCTTTTGTTTCTCAAATCGTGGCCTGAAGCAGATTTAATCGCTGCGTGTGTTTCCTCACAGTCTGCAACTTGTTCTGGTGGATTTAGGTGTTTGTAAACGCCATGTTTGGTTATTCCTCCATCACTGATCGTTGTTTTCAGTATCTGTTTCGCATCTCTTGGGAGGAGTTATTTTTATGATGATGTTTTAATTCATTAAAGAAAATGCTGACAAATGCATGTATGTGAGGCACAAAGAGACGTACGTCTATGATGATGATGCCTTTTGAACACAACCCACAGGCCGTCAGATCAAGAAGTCAGAGTTGTTGTTTCTTCTGCCGTTTAACGGTCGAGTCAAACTTGAGTAAATGTGAAACATGACATCAAGGGACGGCATTACTTCATTGTCAACATGCACACATATTTGATCATGTATTTTTAAACGTGTGTATTGCTTCAGAAGACTCCACCACAGTGCCGGGTTCCCATGAGCAGTTTTCTTGGTTCGGTTCTTAGTAATATACCAGCCTCTCTAAATCCATTGTTCTGCCCTTTAAAACTTCATGAAGTTTAACTTTTGAAAAACAGAGGTAATTAACCACCTTGCACCTTTTACCTGTACTGCGTTGCATCCTCATCAGTGTGTGCGGGTCCAGCCCCGACCGGAGAACACCACGTTATGAGAGTATCGTTCCCCGTGTAGCCCAAGCAGCTTTCAGCAGCACTTAACAGAAAACTCAGAGCTCCACTGTGTTTGCCTGGAGCCGTCCGACCTGTCTGAATAAATACACCAGGCTTATTGAAATGTATGCGCTCTCTCCCAAAGCATCCCATTTCCTCGCCGCTATACATTCATCAAAACGTCGGTTCATAGTTCTGCAGCTCACAATTAAGCTCTGCCCTTCTTCTTTTTTTTGCCACTGGAATATTTTGTGAGAGTAAATATACCAAGGGATCAATGCTCACTGAGCTCACGGCCTCTGGCTGAGCTTTAGCTTGAATAAAGACAGGATATAACTAATGTACACCTATGAAGAACTTGCACTGCAGTTTGCTGGAAAGTGTGCTGACGTTGCACATCTCTGTTTAGACTCAAAATCCAAAGAGAGGCCGCCTCTTTTGACATTCTGAAGCACCACTTAAATACATATCTATCTCGCCAAGCCTTTCTTCTTCAACAGCACGTCGTGTCTGTTACACAGAATCCCACATCTGCACCTTTCATGCATTTAAACACTTTTATGTTGAAACATTCATTTTAAATGTCCCAGTTTATATTCATCTGTTTCAATCTTTTTATTACACTTAAAATGTAAGTGCAAAATGCATGCTTTTCTTCCTCCCACTTTTCATTTATTTTATCCGTAAAACAACATTTATTTATAAATGTCCAGCACTTTGAGCTAAATAGTGTGTGTGAAATGTGCAACACAAACATATTATTGTTATTTGTATTATTAAGACACATCAACATGACAGAGCAGAGAAATCTGCTCAAGTGATCCGTTGAGTCTATCAGGCTCTGAGGGGAGGATGGGAGCTGCTTGAGAGGCTGAGAGTTTGAGGTAAAAGCTGTTCAAATGCGTTAAAATTGATTTGTGGTCGTTCAGTAGCCTCCATCATGGATTAATGGACTGAAGGCTCTGCAAGGCAGAAATGTGTAAAGAGCACTGGTCTGATATGATTATTGTCAGTGCAGAATCAAGAATGTTGCACATTATTTTTAGCATAAAGAGCTTTTGTAGCACTCATATGCTGTACATAATCACTTGTTACCTGTGAAGCAAATGATAAAATGATCCCCGTTATGGCCATCTGTCTTTTGTCCCTGTAAACAAAAAACAGATGCTGAGTGCACGCAGACGATGAATCATTCTGGATGAAGTCTGTCGGCTGTGTCTGGTTGTCTGTGTTTAATGTTCAACACTGCAGTATTGACCTGCCGTGTTATTCAATTCTATCTGTAGTGATTTATTAGAAGGCCTCTCAGCTTTGTTTGGTCATACATGGTTGTAAATAAACAGCTTAGCCTTCATCGAGGAAGCAGCTCGCTCACGTCAGAGTCAGCTGTGCTTAACTCTGCAGCCCACAGCTGAATCATTCCAGTAACACACAGAGGATGTCTGGCTCATGGTGAAATCTGATTAGCTACGTAGCCTTTGAGGCTAAATCCAGCCTTTAGTCACTTGTCTCAAACAAGTCCAAGTGTTGTGGAAAAACTTTCTATGATGCCCATGTGTATAATGCATTATAAACGTACTTATGATGCGTTATAATTTGCTTATAGAACTGTATAATTGTGGTTTTAAGCACACGATTTTTATAACAATCATCTTAATACATTATAAAGCATGTGAATGACTAATAAGGTCAAGTACCTTAAATTGCTAGGTTTAATGATTTTTACTTTACTTCAAGCAAATATTCACCACTCATAACCAAGTTGTAATGTAAAATATCTGCCTTTGCCTAAGGATAGTTTATGGCACTACATTATTAAATATTATAATGCATTGAAACTATGGGAATTATATTAGGATATTTTATAAACCCAGTTGACAGAAAAAAATGGAAAACGTAAAACAGCCGGGCGTAAAACAGCCGGGCGTAAAACAGCGAGATGTACAATATCTTAAATTGCATACCACGTTACTTTCAATAACACACGCTCATTATACTAGGTCACTTGCTCTGACCGAACATTTTTTCACTGCTGACTGAGCTGATTAAAATACTTGCAAAAAAAGTAAGTGTCATCATATATGTCATATTATGATGCATTTAATATTCACTTAACATATAAGTCATTATAAACTGCTTCATAACGTATTATGATTATTGTTATAAGGCATTATTGATGGCTGCTTACAACTATAATTATACAGTGCTATAGGCAGATTATAACCAGTATATGTATTGACATGGGTGTCATAGAAAGTGTTCCCCAAAAGTTCTTTCTGGAGGTTTTTCTATGTCGCTACGTTTAAAATGTTCTGATTGTGTTGACTGATTTTGTGGACAGCCACAGTCATGAAGATGAAAGGAAAGAAACAATTACAAAGTCAGCCTGATTCTAGCAGCAAGGATGCAGTTTCTTTGGACAATTTCACAGCTCATACAATGACAGAATGTTTAAACTTTACTTTTATATTTATGGATCATAAAAAGACTTTCAAAACAAAGAACAGCAGTGGACGTCAACGTAAACTGGGTTTTCTCTTCATTCCTTTTCTTTTCGTCCAGGCTTCTTCATAAGTCTTCAAACACATAACATTCCACTTGTTTGCGAGCAGGTTCAGAGGCTGCGCATTATGTTCATGTTGACTGATTGTGCGTATCGCCTCAATCATTTAAGCCGAGCGGAATTAAACGAAATTGCCGAAACAATTACAGCAGTCTGTCATCTGATAAGAGTCGTCAATGTCTTCCAACAAAATTAGATTTAGAGCCGTAATGCAGGAGCAGACAGCAGATGATTAGGTGATATTGCCTTGGGGAGCTGTCTGGAATGATCTAACACAGGAACCTGCACTGTCAAAACTAAAAGAAAAGTCTTTTAGGAACTTTTAGCGGCTTCTCGGGTCATAAAAACAGTTCCTTTTAAAAATAAAATCCCTTGAAGAAGGCGACCTGAGTCCTGAGGATACGCACTGAAAATCAAGACGACCTCAGTGAACCATTAGTGATTCTGGAGATCACACAGGGGAACTCCCAAAAGTTTCTTGAAGTGCTGCAGACATGAAGGGCAAACATTATCGATGTGAAGGATCTTCTGAGCTGGGAAAGCTATTTGGAATTGAAACAAAAAATACACCTGAAGGGTTTCAACTGTTTCGCTCATCTGTGGGGTAGAAAAGAACATTCTTATTCTTATAACTTAGTCCGTCCGAAGACATTTAACGATGCCCTGTGGAGTTTTCTGGTGAAGTAGCAAAGCAGGCTTTATTCACCAAAACACACTGGACCTCATGCACATTCATGAGAACTGTATGAATGCACAATTAATATCACAATAAAACCATAGAAGGCTACGTGTCCACATGTCCTGTATTGAAGTCCGGATTTCGGATCCATCCATCGAGCAAAATCTATAATTTCACAACATCAGCAGCAGGATTGAGGAACCAACTGAAGACAAGGAACGGGATAAATTAAGAGTGTCACCTTTGGGTCGACCTGTCACTGAAATAAAGAAGAAATGGTTCCATATGGAAAACCATTTTTTTCCAAATGGAATAAAGTAATTTAAGATGTTCATATTGTAACGTTATACAAAAGCATCAATAGCCAATTTAAATTAAGTAGCCCCGCCCTAAAGCATCCCCTGCTTTATGGTCTGTGTGACTCTAAATGGACCATAATGTACTAAATGAACATCATGCTGTATTGAAGAAGACTTGAAACTAGAGTTTGAGACCATAAACTCATGTTTACAATGTTTACTGAGGTAATAAATCAAGAGAGAAGTAGAGTCATTTTCTCATAGACTTCTATACAACCAGAGGAGTCGCCCCCTGGTGGACATTGCATGGACGCAGGTGAAAACAAACAAAATAGAGTAATAAATTGTCAGGGAATTGTTGCAAATACCTTCATATGCAAATACAAAAACATTTTCTCAGCTCGTTCCAGCATCAAAAATTAGCAGCATCATTTCTGGGAGACAGGGTTGCAATAAAACACCAGTATGTGAATCATTAATGACTAAATACATTTGACACTCTCTCTCTCTCTCTCTCTCTCTCTCATGTGCCAACATCAGTCTGCTGATCAATGATGATTAACTACACCTCACTCTTTCCTTCCCTCTCTCTGGTCCCTCCCATGCCATGCCAAGTATCCGTCTGACAGATCAATGATGATTGATGACTGGACACATTTGACTCTGTCTCGGTCTCTCACTGTCTCCCTTTCTCTTGACTCCTTTTTCCCACACAGACAACGTTTCAAACAATATCTAATTCATATTTAATGGCCGAGTGCTTTTAGCTCCGTCTTCACCTCCTTCTCTGGGCAGAAACTGCCAACACTTCAGGGAGGGCAGAGAACCAGCAGCATTTCCTTTTGATTTGTGTATGCCTTTCTGCCTCTTTGTCTGCTCCTGTTAGTGTTGATCATGTGTTATCACCTGTTCTGGTTCTTTCTCAGTTTGTGCTGAGATGTGACTGAACACTGTACCAGTTTAGAGACACAGAGAGCTGCAGTTACTGCCGTTCATGAGGAGGGAGCTGGGATACGGTGCACAAATGTGTTCCTGGAGAGAGAGTGAGATACAGATATGAGAGTAGAATTATTTTCTTATTTAAAACATTCAAAACATTTTCATCTACACCAACTTAGCTTTTTTTGTATTACAAATTTTCTGAAATGTGTTTAAATATGAAAATGAGAGATTATCTGATGGTAACTCTTGGTGAATTCAGGAGAAATCTACAGACACAAAGAGACAAAGTACTAAAATAAAAACCTAAATGTGTATTTTCGATGTTTTCTTCACTAGTCTGAAGGAAGACGTGTTTTCGAAGCAAAATAAATAAATAAAAAAAACATGAAAAACAATGTTTTTGACCGTCTCCCCTTAAAAAACAAATTCACAATATCAACTTTCTCCTCATCCTCTTCTTCATCTCACTCTTCCTCCTGCGCTGCAGGCCGGAGTTCTTCTCCCGACAGCGAGCATGTCGTGTCTCTGGGCAACCTGTTAGACGACCAGCACTGGCACCACGTCGCCGTGGAGCATCACAGCACTCACCTCAACCTCACCGTGGACAAGAGCACACTGTGGGTGCAGATCCCACCAAGACTCACCCACTGGGACCATGACCAGGTATGTGTCTGCGTAGGTGTTGGACGCACACAAACATAATAAAAAACCCTTACAGTAACACCTGCTCACGCTTTATAGTTTTATATTGGTCGTGTTTCCACCGTACAGATGAGTGTGGGAGCAGACCACGGCCTCGGCTCTCGGAGGTCAGTCGGGTTGAACAGAAATTTCCACGGCTGTTTGGAAAACCTGGTTTACAACGGCGTGAACCTGGTAGACCTCGCTAAGAAGAAAGACCAGCGGGTCACTGTGAAGGTAAACTGGCTCACAATGTGCTAATGAAATCCGTTTTTTGTGAGTGTGTTTGTATGTTTCGACACTGTAGACACGCTGTAATGTGCAGTCAGCTGGTTGGTGGATACCACAGGAGCCCTTCGTTTGGATGCACTGGTGTATCTGATCAACGTATCCTTGTGCATCAATTTGTAAGATATCTCACGAAAAATGACACTAGAGGGGAACGTAGAGCGTCATAGTTTGAAGCTCATGACACTGACCAAGCATCTTTTTCAAGTTGAGAGAGAGAACATGTGGATTGTTTGCTGGAAAGCTGTTCATGAGCGGTATCATGATCAAAAGGAATTAATATTAGATGAAAGTGGGAAGTTAAGTACAGAATATACTGTATATGTCTGAAATGTAATCGATGAAAAAGTGAAAATATTATCTTCAAGCACACTTATTAGAGTTTGAAGAAGTTGAGAAAATATCTCCTCACTCTCATCCCTTTTCCTTTAAATGACATTGCATGTTTGTGTGTGTGTGTGTGTGTGTGTGTGTGTGTGTGTGTG